GCAGTTGCACATCTGGACAGCAGTGATTTCTTCTTTACATGTGTTGTATTTTATAGACCATGTTTGAGTAAAGCGATTTGAATTGTGCAACTGTTCACTCTGAACATAGCAAAACATCCATTTAATTCAAAGATTATTTCCAAGGAAAAGAAGTAAATACACGAATGAAACTGGATTGTGTCAGCATTGGTTTTCAAGAGGCTTTGGCTTCACAGTACTCAATATTTATTTTACGATGGTAACAAAACCAAGATTCTTTTTGTTTAGAGGGATTTAAATAAGTGAAAAGACTTTCTTTCTGGGAAAATTATAACATGAAGTGTTTTAAGAGTGAGTCATGGGCTCTTGAACCCCTCTTGTCAATTTAAACATGGACCCTAAATTGGTGCCCACCGTCTCGTGGTGACTGTGATGATGATGTTGCCCTGAAGCCACTTTGCCTTGTTCATCGGGCTTCCTGTTACTGCATCCTTCTGGCCACCTCCCCTTTACATCACCTAGTGGAATAATTCCAAACATACTGTCTTGTTTTTTATTCGGATACCAATGTCATTATTAACATTTTTAGTCTAATAATGTTCTACTTCCTTGAAAATCACAAAATGTTTTGTTGGTGTGAGATTACAATCAAAGTCTCATAATATTAAAAGAGCCCCCTACAACCATATGAGATCTGTAGTCTATGGATACACTTTTGTTTCACTTTGAAAATGTATTTTTAAAACGTAACAGCCAGATATTATATGTTCATAGCAAATGTTCTGCAAATATTGAGTATGGATGAAGAAATATTATGCTTTTTAAAATAATGTTATCTGCTTATTCTTTGGCTGCAATGTAGCTGGCACACCGCATTGGGGCTGTCTATGTGTGTTTTTTTAAATGTCATCTTTATTAGTATTACATTCAAGGAACAGTACCAAGAATCAGTTTCTTTCAAGACGGTCTTCCAGTGTGTGGCATGTAAGTCTGTGCCGAGCGACATTACAGAAGGTCGTGTCACTTTTAACTGCTTGCATTACATCTTCTGATTTCCCCGGTGCCCTTCCTTTGTTTGATTAATACTACTTGCTTTCAAGCAAGGTATCAGAAAGCATAATTTGGAAAGAGATTTCTAGAACTGATCCGAGATATCCCCCCTTAAGAAAAAAGAGAAAAAAAATCCCCCTTTGTAACGTGCCTTTTCTGCCACCCGCATTTTTTTGTTTTCTCACTCTTCTTCTCCTCACCCCCCACCTCCACCGAGGAAATCCTATATATGTTGTTATTAAAACATTGCTGACAAATATTTGGGCCATTGGACTTTGTATACCTGAAAACAAAACTATATAGTGCTTATTTGGTTTTATTTGAAGAGGAAAGAGCTAGAATTTGAGACGAGGACTTCTTAATTTGTTTTCCTTGGTTAAGTGTTAAACTCCCGCACGCTCATTCTAAATAGCAGGTGTTATTTGAGCTCTCTGGGAAGGATTGCAATTTTGTGCAGTCATTAAATGCACTTCAGTGATGTATATAGTTTGTTTTTAAAGCCTCAGTTGGCAGTTTCTACATTCATTGCATCTGGCTAGAGCTCTCTGTGTCCCTGAGCACAGCCCAGCTTCTGAGACACTCTTGTCCTGATGTCCATCCACCTCACTGGGCCGTTATAGCCTGAGATGAGATGTGAAAGCATCACCATTTGAGTTAGGAGTCTTTCTCCACATCCCTACCTGTACCCCTTTATTTGTGTCTTGGTGCCAGGGAAAACATGAGTCAGAATTATATATGTCATTAAATATACAGAATATTTTACATGGGGAAAAATATATAACTTAATTTCCAAAAATGAACATGGAAGATATTAAGTTGGCCTTGTTTTATTGCTGGAGTACTTACTGAGACACAGGTCGATGCTGGCACCTTCTATGCACCCTCTCACTGGATCCTTCATCAACACAGTGGGACAGGCACTGTTATCTCCAGTTTCTAAGGCACCATCGGCTTCACCTGAGCAAAATGTAAGAGTGGGACACATTCTCAGGCAGCTTGAAGGCATCCATAGGAAACCCTTTGCATTATAAATCCTCGCTTGTAGATGTTTATGATGTCACATTAAGAAGGAACCAGAGGAGAGGGGAAAAGCCCTCCCTGGAACGCTAAAACACGGCAAAAAGGCCTCTCACTAACACAACACTTTTCTGCCAAATGTAAAAGCAAACGGTTGCACTGGGTGGTTCTGGCTGCACATTTGTGGAGCAATTGTGCATAGCCAATTACCCACCACGCAGGGTAAAAAACAGTTTGGGTTTTGCAAAGGAAGAGCCTGTTTCTGAAGGCCTCTTTGAGTCATCCTTGAACAAGAGATCCACAGCTGTTTGTAAAATGTGTAAATTGAGCTAGTGATTTTTGCTATAATTCAATCATATCTTGGGTTTTTGAAAATTAATTTGAAGATAGTGGAGATCTCCAGATCCTGGAGGTTAAAAGTTCCTGGGTTCTATTTCCAAGCAAATACTTGAAAGCATTTTGAATATTTGTTTTCATTAATCTGCATCATTGATTAGGCGTAAGTCTTTCTGGGTGAACTGAATCAGTTCTGGGAGATAAGTGACAAGCACTTCACCCCAAAGTGTGCTCAGAGATAAGAAGGGAAGATGATTCTTTCATTTATTCACTCAACAAATGGCTCTGGAACACCCTGTGTACTTTATGATCTGCTAAAGATTTAAGCCTTCGTAGCCCCTGCAGGGTGATAAGTGCTGAAGAGAAGAGGCATAGAGTAGGTTGTTAATTCTAACGATCTTATAATACTGCTTGAGTTTTTCAGAGGAGTAAAAGTGTAGTATTTACTTTTCTTTTTCTTGACACATTTGATATGACTGTGCATGGATAATTTTAGCAAAAAAAATTACTTGATTTAAATCTAAGAGGTAATTTTGCTGAAGTACAAAGTAATTATTTTTAAAATTTTTATGAAGCTTAGCTGCAATGTTGTACCCCAAACCTTGTAGCTTCTTTTCTGTTTTAAACCTCTCACACAAACAGCCCGATTTGGGATAGTGGCATATGTCACCTTCATTTTACATTGTTGCTATTGTTGTCTTTTTCTTTTTTCAGACAGTATCTCATTGTGTTACCCTGGGTAGAGTGCCAGGGTGTTCTAGCTCACAGCAACCTCAAACTCCTGGGCTCAAGAGATCCTCCTGCCTCAGCCTCCCAAGTAGGTGGGACTATAGGTGCTCGCCACAATGCCTGGCTGTTTTTCTATTTTTAGCAGAGACAGGGTCTCCCACTTGTTCAGGCTGATCTTGAACTCCTGAGCTCAAGCAATCCAACCACTTCAGCCTCCCAGATTGCTGGGATTACAAGCAAGAGCCACTGCACCAAGCCAGTACCTCAAATTTGAGGAAATTAAAAGTCAACATTGGCTTGGCGTGGTGGCTGACACCTGTAATCCTCGCACTCTGGGAGGCCCAGGCAGGTGGATTACTTGAGCTCATGAGTTCAAGATCAGCCTGAACAAGAGCGTGACCCCCTCTCTACTAAAAATAGAAAAACTGAGTTAAGAGGATAGCTTGAGCCCATGAATTGAAGGTTGCTATGAGCTATGATGATGCCATAGCACTCTACCCTGGATGGCAGCATGAGATTCTGTCTCAAAAAAAAGCAGTCAACATTGAAGATTATTTGATAGTCTCTACTTAATTCTACTGAATTGTAAGCCACTTGAGGGCTGATAGGGGTAGAGATGACATACTTGTATTCCCACAGTACCCAGCACTGTGTTCCTTGGACAAAGGGTTTTAGTAAATGCTTATGGAGTGGCTGAATACAGTTAGAGAGAACGTCAAAAGTGTATCTTTCTGGTTGAAGGCTGAATTGCTTTTTATATCCTCATATAGGCGTAATGCATCAGATATCAGAAACCACATATTGTGCTACTATGATTCTTTTGAAATTCTAACTGTTCAAATGAAAGACCACACAATTCTGCTATTTAATAGAAGATTTAAAGTATGACATTAACTTCGGAACCTACTTATAAGTTGTCAGATACTCTGGGATAGATCCAGGTTCATGAGACCTGCAAGTTGTTGTTGGGATATTCTTTTAAATCAGCTAATGCTTTTGGAATATTCAAGAAAAATTATTAGGAATAACTGAGAGTTCTGACATGTCATCTCAGTTTACGTGACTCTCTTGGTAATGCAGTCTTTGTTATTGATGTTTTCACTCAGGGAATATTCCTGTTTGCATCAAAAGGGTGCAGGAAAAGAGGCTGAGGTATCTCTAGCTCTGGGAGAAAGGTCTAAAAATATGCCTACTGTGATTCTATTGAATAATATAATAATAATATCCATCTTTATCATATAAGCCTTGTGTAAAATCACAGAGAAGTAAAATTAGAGTTTCAGGTAATCCACAAAAATAAAAAAGTGATAGAGGTATCATCGACATTTATACTTAAGAATTGAAATTTGAGTCATAATACAATCTGAACTATTTGCTTAGGAAAGAAAAAGTAAAAATAAAATTTGAGCCATAAAAGTCATTGTCAGTTTTGTGCCATAAACCACCAACATGAATTAATTAACAGACATAGTTTTTTATCTTAGAGTTTGGTAAAAAGTAAATTAGAAATAGCAGAGCTGTTTCATGCTTAGCTATCTAGCTCCAAATGAAAAGTGTCTGATTAATACAGACAATAGAATAGGTAGGAAGGAAATTTCCTGATTTAAGGCATCCTCCAAATAAATGTTCCTTTCCTTCTGCATATTTCAAATTCTTTAAGTTGTCACGAAACATTTCTCTTAAACAGGGTTGCCCTGATGCAGACTCAGTTTCCTGGTTTTAATCAATTAAAGGAAGAGCATTTTCCCATTGGTATCTCTAGATCAAATATTCTTTCTCAGTGCATCCGTTTCAAATGTTAATAAAGTTTTCACTTCGGAAAGGTTCCAAATGACAGAACAAAATTCTCTCCATTACAAGCACAAAGCGACTTCTGTTTCTGTCTGCAGGTAGTGGAGGACATGCTAGAGGACGAGGAAGAAGAAGAAGACAAAGATGACAAGGTAATTATCTCTCCAGCACTCGGGGACCTGGGGACGGGGAATGGAGACATGACACTGTTTTCACAGACAGTTAAAAAAAGAGTTGAAGTGTTTGAGTCCAGAAAATTGGACAGTGCTGTTTATCATCCTAACAATGCCGCTGCATGTTGCAGAGAGGGAGAGAGGGCTATAAATCCTCTTCACTTTTGTCCAGAGCTGGGTCAAATATTTTTCTGCCAGGAACAAAAAAATGTAATTCAGCTTGTCTGGAATTTGATAGCTCTCATGAAGATAACAGCAGTGATGACTGTTTTTGAAGGGCAAAAATTTGTCCTGTCTCAGGTTTACAAATCGAGCTATGTTTGGGGGGAAGAGGGGAGTGGAAAATATCGGCTGCACGAGTTGAACACGGGTATTGTCCTCTGTGATTTTCAAAGAATTGCTCTGCAAAAGGACACACAAGTCTGGAGCATCCAGAGGACTTTTAAATATCCCCAATTCTCACTGCCCTTGCCTAGGTTTGGGATGACCATGGTTCCTCAGTCAGGAAAGCCCCATTCCAAGGCTGGTGGCTTGGGGACAGTCACCATTGTGGATAACAGCTAGCAGAGGGGGCAACGGGAAGTAGGAACTAGAATGACTTTGTTCCACGGCAGTGGCTGGGTCACAAGGGCTGCTTTCTAGAGCCGGGAGGACGGCGATGCTGGCTGTTCCATCATCATGTCTGGGAAGTTCCAGGCCTAAAATCTAAAACCTCCTGCAGTGAGACTGGGAAGTGAGGGAGAGATTATCGTTCATTATGTTCGCATTGTTCAGCATATAAAACTAGATTTTGACTTTCACTAGAATCTATCTGACTTGTGTTATAGTAAAGCAATGAAATGTTTTGAAGGAGAAAAACAGTACATCTTAATTTATGCCCTTGACTTGTGATTCCAGTAGAAATGTATAGTTATGTCCCAGTGTAACAGTTTCTGTGCTGGAAGGAAGCATTAGAGATGTCAGGAAGTAAAAATTCCCAGTGATCAGTAACCTATCCCAACTGATCTTTTTTCTTAACTAATAGTCAATGCTTAAAGGAGAATGGAAACACACACACGCTCACTTCCTCCCTGTGAGGCTATTTCAACCATTTTTAAGTTGATAGAGCTTTTATGTGAAATGTTCCTTCTGTACAGCATTTAGTCATTAGCAGCCTCATCGAACATAAGCAACGAAATCTCCTTCCTGCAAAAACACATATGTGCTTGTTTTTACTGTTAAATAACATGAGCATACACTTCTGGCAATAAACGATGTGATTTATTGTTAAGGTCAGTTGCAGAGCTGTAGAGAGCTTGTATTTTAACTCAACATACCAGCTCTGAATCATCATTTCTCCGCTGATAAACACTGAGCTGCCATCCATTTAGGGCCATTTTCTCCTGCTTGTTGCTGCTTTATTATTAAAGCCACCATAAAGATCCATCCCGGCAGCAGGAGTTTCCCCAGAAATGTTAATAAATGGAAACCCTTAGTGAAGTCTAGTACTTCAGGGTCCCTGCTTGAAGTCAACCTATATTTTTTGGCCAGTTGGTTGATATTCTATACTTCTGATATCCCCTTCTTATGGTCATTTTGTGATGGGGAGGCTGTTCAGCTTTTGGGTAACCAATAGATACACCTGGTTAACCAGCTGACCAAAACATAGATGTCAGGCGGAACATGCCAGGCGGAAACCCCCAAGCTCTGGAGGAACATCTACTGTAATCTAATGTTTGGTTGTCTGCAGTCAACACGCTGCTTCTAACACATTTTCAGATCTAGTTACCAAAGTTGATTGAAAGTGAGCGCTTAAATTGCACTGTGTAGTGAACTGCATTCTTCTGTACAGGAGGCCACCAGCAATGTGTTTTCCACGTGAAAGGATTGTTACCCAATTTTCATAAATCCAGCCCTCAATTGCAGTGAAACATAAAAAAGGTTTTTCTTTTTTACTCAAAATGCAGTTGATAGCATAAAAATCATATCTGAACCAAAAAATCTCAAATGAAATAATTTACAATAAAATTTTGAGTGCCTGCATAATAGAGGAAGAATCCTAGAGGGGACATCTTGAGATACAAAGTTTTTACTCTATGAAAGGACCCTGTGCGTTTCCATTTGCCAGCTTCCATCTCTCGACTGGCTCTCACGGCCGTGAATGTCTTTAGTCTTGGCTACTAGTGTGTCTGAGGGGAGAAGGGTAATTTCCTACTTTTAAAAATTCATTGGTTCCTGTATTTAACGTTTGTGTATAGAGTCATGCGTAATGGAATTTCATGAGAAAACAAATGTGTTTTTTGCTATACGAGCAAATACTAACCTCTAGCTCTCATTATTTCTCTGTTTTCTCATATGGTACAACAGTGGGGTCAGGTCAGTGGGTCCTCTTATAGGATAAAAGTAAAAAAGATTAATAAATGTGCCAAAGCCTCACTTTAATTGAACCTGAAGCATATGTTGCAAGTATGTAAAATATGTCCCAGATGTTTCACCAGGGCGAGTGTCTTGGCTCCCCTGATTACCACGAGGCAGCTATTAGTCCTCTAACCTTTGGACCTGGGGGTAGATGGGGTATTATATGGCACAGAATGAGAGCACCTGTTTTCCATTCAGCAAAGACCCCTGGCAGGCTTTGCCTAAGCCTATCCATATGTTTTCACTTAACAGATTGTTGGGCGATTATGAACAGTGTCTTTCTTTAGGAGCCAGCGTTGATATTAGTCACTCACAAAGAAAGGGCAAGTCACTGGCTGCTTGACAAGCCTCGTGTGGGCATTAACCAAGGTCCTTTGAGCATGGAGGGTCTGCCTTCAACATGATTACATACACAACAAAGATGCAGGTGTAAGAAGTTGAAGCAAACAAAGTTTACAGTTACTTAACGCAATAGCTTTTCAAGTCAGTGCTGACTTCAGCACCTGGGAAGACTTGGGTTAAAATTGGTAAAACCTAAATCATGATTTGCCAGATTTGCAGATTCTGAATTCTTCCAGATTAGAGCCTGTTGAGTTAATTTTTTTCCTGGAATTCTTTCTTCTTTATTAAAAGAGCGAATCATTATTCAGGTGAGGGTCTGTGATGCATAAATTTCTTTATTCTCAGACCCATTGTCCACATTTGCTTAATTCTAAAATTAGGTGGCTTCTCTTTTCATTCAGTTCCATGGTTTTCACAAAGGCAGAGAATACGGGTTTTGAGTGGTGAGCCCAGTTATGAATCATTGGCTTGTTAATATTTTCACTTTCCTGAATTATGTAGTAGCAGTGTTAGAGATGACATCTTTCCTGAACTGAATTGTAGGAAGACGCCACCCTGCCCACTCAGCTCCCTTTGTTGTAGTACAGGATTCTCTCAGCCATCGGCCACAGAGTCACAGCTTGATCTCATTTTTGATCTAACACCAAACCCTGCCTTTGTGCTTATTAGACTATCTCAGCAAGTAAGGTTTAGCTGGATTACCTAGGTGGAGCGAACAACAAGCCATATAAACACAAGTGCTCTTCATCATGTTATGTGTAATAGGACAGTGGTCAGTCTGCCTAATCTAGACATCTAATTAATGAAGATCAGCTTTCCTTTTGTAGTTTAAAAAGTGTAGGCCTGCTTCCCATGGTGCGGCCTACCCTGGTAATAAGACCCAGCTGTGCTCTCAGGAAGCTGCAGATAAAATGCAGGTTTTCCTCAGGAAAAGCATGGATTCACATGCATGGCCTTCTAGTAATGTTTATTGATAAAGATATTAAAATGTTCAGGCATTTATGCTTACATGACTCCTTTTTCTGAAACCATTACGTCAAGGTTACTGTGTTTCAGGATAACCAGAGGCAGTGAATGAAACATATCTGAGTTACTTTAAAATACACAGACCATTTGCTTTAATTCTTGAAATCTGTGTTTTCTGGTTTGATTCTCCAGCCCTAAACATGTATATAATATACCCCAGTCTTCTGTACCTCTGTACCTCAAATCACTCACAAGTAGTGGGAGTGGAAGGAGAAAAAAAAACTCTGATGAGTGACACAAAAGATTTTAATCTGACAAAATGGCATTTTCCAGATATTCAATGAAAGAACTACGTGGTAGCAAAACAGATCAAAGCTTTGAAAATGGTTAAAAAGAGAGGAGACAAGAAAAAACATCCTTTTAAAAAACATCTAAGTCACATTTAACTGGAATATCATTGTTTTCACTTGTTTGATATTACTGCATAACAAGTCTCCACACACTTGAAGAGTGTGGCTTAAAACAACACTCCCTTTTCAGCTCTGAATTCAGCAGAGCTGCTGAACCTCAGACATGAGCAGCCAGGTAGGCCAGGTTCTCAGCCGGAGGCTTTGGATAAGGGTCCATTTCCAAGCTGCTTCGGGGTGCTGAAGAGCTGTTCCTTCGAGTTGGAGAACTAAAGTCCTTGTTTTCTTGCTGGCTTTCTGGTCCCAGGGACAACTTTCCATGACTCCCTCCATCTTGAAATCCATCAGTGGAGCAGGTCTTTTGGGTTGAATCTCTCCCGTACTTCAAATCTCTTTCTTCAGGAAGAGACCGGTTCCTTTTAAGGACTCTCCTGCTTAGGCCAGGACTGCCAAAGATAATCTCCCTTTCTTAAAGGCAACTGTGCAGTGGAACATAATCTTATCATGGGAATAACCATTGTATCATATTCCTAAACCCACCCCAACACCCAGCAGGAGGGGATCACACATGATGTCTACACTTGGCAGCCGTCTTGGAATTCTGCCTGCCACAACCATCTAGACTCACCTTGTACTCTAGAGTGAAAAGAGAACAATCCTTGTGTTCTTTGATGTATTTATTGCAAAACTGTAACTCACCTATTCTATAATAAACAAATGAGGAAAACCTGCTTTGCCTAGATGTGTCCCTTCAAAGATTATTTCAGAAAAGCTCTCTTGAACAAGCTTTTCTGAAATAAAAATTAAAGCTGAGAGTGGGTTACTGGCCATCTCTCTGCAGTGCCAGACCTTCCTGGTTAGGAGCCA